GCTGAGTAGTTTTCCACAGTGTGTACATATCACATTTTCATTATCCATTGAAAGACATTTAGGTTGTTTCTATTTCCTATTCTTTTCTGAATAGAGCTGCAGCGAACACACTGAGCAAGTATCCATGAATTAGGTTATCAAGTCCTTTGAGCACACGCTAAGGAATAGTAGAACTGGATCATATGGTAGATTTATTTTGGGTCTTTTGAGAATCCTCCACACTGATTTCCATAGTAGCTGCACCAGTTTGTACATGAATGTTTCCCCCTCCCACATCCTCTTCAACATTTGTACTCAGTTGATTTAATTTTTCATTGTATCTTCTAGTTTAGTTAATATAAATTGTTTCTGTGTTGGGAATACGACTACTCACTTCTTCTTGTTGCCATGACAAAATTCTGGTCAAGAAGAAACTTAAGGAAGCAAGGCTTCACTCTTGCTAGTAGTTCAAGGGTAGAGTCCACCACAGTGTGAGGAGTATGGTAGTGGGTGAGAAAGCTGAGCGAGGTGAAAGCTGATGTACAGTTTGCCTTCTGCTTTTTCTCTTTTTATTCAGTCCAGGTCCCCAGCCCACAGAATGGGCATGGTTACATTCAGGGCAGATCTTTCCTCCTTGGTTAGATCTATCTGGAAATGCCCTCACAGGCATACCTAGCAGGGTTTCTTAGGGGATTTCAAATTTGGTAAGGTTGACAATAAAAACCAGCCATTCAACACACACCAATATAGTGGCTGCTCATGTTAAATGTCTCTATTGTATACATAGGTGGTCATAATACCCACTTCACACTATATACATACTGAAAGCAGAGTTTTGGAATATTTCATGAATACTAAGGACAAATATGCATTTCTAAATTTTTGATGTTGTCTTAGAAAAAGTACTGTGTCATTTGCTCAACACATACCTCAAGGTAGTACAGTTGTGTGCCATTTACTGTTTATTACCCCCAGTGGAGCTCAGGGCCAAGCAGGTCATCCTTGACTGGAGCAGAAGTAGAGCATCTCTGCTTTGGTTCCTGCTGTCAGGTTTCAGGACACAAAATCATGAATGCAGGTGTTTAAAGGACTTCCCAGGTACTTAGGCATTCAGGGTTGCCACCATTAAAATATAACTGCTGATCATTAACTGATTTCATTTGTAAGGGGAAATTGCAATTAACAAAATCAACAAAATTAGTTAGAGTCATTCAGAATTGAACTCTCCAGGAAGACTCTGATCACTTAAAGCAAAGTTGTGCAGTGGAAATATAATGTAAATTAACTCAAGTAATTTCAAGTTTTCCAGTCAACCACATTAGAAAGAAAATGACTCAGTGGGCACTAACTTTAAAAACATATATTTCATATTTCTTAGGATTATAATATTATTATATCATTGTCTCAACACACATTCTCTTTAAAATAGTGAGATATTCAATGTATTTTCATACTGTCTTTGAAATATGATATCTATTTTATACTCATAGAATATTATAGTTTAGAGCAGTCATCTGCTCATTGGCCATATGCATCCAAGACTACATTATTGAACAGTGCATGACTAGATTTTTAATATTGAAACTAAAGTACTATTTAATTTATCTTGATGAAGTACAGAGAGTGTGTAGCATGTTATTATCCTTAGAATAATTAATAGATGTTTAAAATGACAACCAACCCTATGGACATACAGCAAACCACCACTTAATCTTAATAAAGGAAATGTAATGGATACATGGCTGACTCAGTGCCAAGGCTTAAGAAAAATACAAGCTGCTAGTGCCTTCTATTATGCAACAAATAAAACTGTAACCCACAAATCCAAAGGGAAAAGTAAAACTAATGAGCTTTGGTTGGAATAAGACCAATGGCGGAACCAGTTTGACCACACAAGCATTTACTGCAGTCTCTTGGGGAGATGGATTTAAGGGCCACACTCTGGGATGGAGGGCAGAGAGCCAAAGGGCAAACCCAAGATCTTCCAAATGTCAGCTTTGATATGTTGCCCATCTGTTAGCCCTTTAATGAAGCTTGCTGAACTGACAGGCAGGCTGGCTGTGGGATGTTCAGGGGAGCTGTGGCAGTATCATATTACAATTAAAGACAGGAATCCCTTGCACTTAACATTCGGTTTTCAGAGGGCATTTTCACTCACTTTTCTACAACTTTTAAAGGCAAGTTTTTACTAATTTTGGCATACTCAGCATAAAAACATTGGGCATAAAGATTCATTTCCAGAAGTTATAGTTGAGCAGCTAGTAAGCAATGCACTGTGTTGAGATTCAAGAGCTTGAGAACTGAAGTGGAGAACCTAGATATGTTAGACTTCACATATCTAAATTCTGTAATCATTTGCACCATTTAGTTTCAGGTAACACACTCAGGTCAACTTCAGGCTAACGCGGACATCTTGCTGCTCAGTCAGTGCCATAGGCCGACTGCTGGCTTTTGTTTGCCTGGACCAGTAGACAAGCATTTTTACCTTTAAAAGCTGCTTCTAAATGTGCCATTTTTATTGCTTCTAGAAACTTTGGAAATTTGTCTTACAACTTCTGAGTTTAGCAGCAATTTATCCTAAAATAATATACAATGCCCAAACATTCAACTTTATCATGTTTAGGCTCCTTTTTTTTTTTTTTTACAGTTTTTGAAAAAGCTATTAGCTTACACATCAATTGGCTTTTATTGTTTTTCCCATACTTCTTTCCCATCCCCTTCCCTCCCTGTGTCACCCTCCAGCCTCATTTCCACTTTCATGTCACATGTGACTTTTGCTCCCCTCTCATAGTCTCCTATCTAATTACAGAGTCTGCTTTTGTTCTTACAACCTCTCAGTTACACACTTACAAATATAGAAGTCAGTGTCCACATAGAAGAGAGAATATGTGATTGCATTTTGTCCTTCCGAGGTGGGTAACCTCATTTAATGTAAGACTTTCTAGTTTCATCTCTTTTCCTGCCAATTTCCCTTTTTTTTAACAGCTGAATAAAGTTCCGTTGTGTATGTAAGTGTGCGGCCACTTTGCAGTCTTCTATGGTGGACATCTAGGCGGGTTCCATTTCCTTGGGTTGTGAATAGTGCAGCAGTAAACATGGACACACATGTGTCTCTGATGTCCTTCCGGTATATGCTCAGGAGTGGTGTAGCTGGGTCATATTGTAGTTCTACTTTTAAGTTTTGAAGAGCCTCCATGCATATTTCTTCGGTGTTTAGTTTACATCCCCACCGGCTATTCCTCTTTATCTGCGTTGCCACCAGCACCTGTCATTTGCTTTCTTGACTATAAGCGTTCTGGCTGGAGTAAGAGACAATCACAAAGGTTTTTTTCCTTTGTTTTTAATGAAAATAATTTAAAATGTATCTAATACTTTTCATACAATGAATTTTAGTCATATTATTTTTTTTCCTCTACCTTCTCCCAGATCCTTCCCTTTCTACCCATCCAACTTCAGATTCTTTCTCTCTCTTAAATAGATTAAAACACCGCTGTAGTGGTATTGTGTTCCCCAAAATATCGTGTACCTTAATAAACTTATCTGGGGTCAGAGAACAGAAAAGCCACTAGTTAGGCAGTGATAGCACACGCCTTTAATCCTAGCATTCCAGAGACAGAAATCCCTCTGGATCTCTGTGAGTTCAAGGCCACATTGGAAATAGCCAAGCATGGTGACACACGCCTTTAATCCCAGGAAGCAAGTCTTTAATCCCAGAGAGTGGTGGTAGAAAGCAGAAAGATATATAAGGCGTGAGGACCAGAAACTAGAAGCTTTTGGCTGGTTAAGCATTTGGCTGGTTAAGCATTTGGCTGGTTAAGCATTTGGCTGGTTATGCATTTGGCTGGTTAAGCTTTTAGCTGGTTAAGCTTTCAGGCTTCTAGCAGCAACAGTTCAGCTGAGAGCCATTGGGATGAGGACACAGAAGCTTCCAGTCTGAGGAAACAAGACCAGCTGAGGAATTGGCAAGGTGAGATAGCTGTGGCTTGTTCTGTCTCTCTGATCTACCAGCATTGACCCCAATAACTGGCCTCGGGTTTGATTTTATCAAAAAGAACTTTTAAGATTCCTGCTACACACTGCCTCCTCAAAGCTCCCCCCCAAATCAAAACAAAAAAAGCACAAAAATACAATGATAAAGCCCAAAGACCACATGGTTTCCATTTTGTGTTGACCAGCTATTCTGGATGTGATTGATATACCCAGAATGACTCCATTGAAGAAAATGGATTTCTCCTCTTCTGGCAGCTGACAGTTATGAAAAGCTTCTTGGTTACAAGTGGATAGTTATCCTCTTGGTTTTGGTTGTCTGTTGGTAAACCAAATGTACAGCCTTTGGCTAAGTGCATTTTATACCTGGTTTATGCTACCACCCCCCCACCACCACCAAATTATAATATCATTAGTATGAAAGCACTTGATATTTGTTATTCTACATTTTATGTTATAACAATGCTTGCGGGCAGTGGTGGCACACACCTTTAATTCCAGCACTCGGGAGGCAGAGGCAGGCAGATCTCTGTGAGTTCGAGGCCAGCCTGGGTTACTAGTGAGTTCCCGGAAAAACACAAAGCTGCACAGAGAAACCCTGCCTCAAAAAACAAAAAACAAAACACAAAACAAAAAGCCGGGCAGTGGGGGCGCACGCCTTTAATCCCAGCACTTGGGAGGCAGAGGCAGGCGGATCTCTGTGAGTTCGAGGCCAGCCTGGGCTACCAAGTGAGTTCCAGGAAAGGCGCAAAGCTACACAGAGAAACCCTATCTCGAAAAACAAAACAAAACAAAACAAAACAACAACAACAAAAACAATACTTGCACTTTCCATATCAATTACTTGTCCCATAAAACAAAGGAGAGTCCTTTTTTTTTTGGATAAAATTGCTGGATTTCCTTCTATGGATAAAATTGCTGGATTTCCTTCTATGGCCTCTGTGGGGACGAAGTCTTTCTTCTAGATTCTTTCTAGAACAAGTTATTTCTTTCCAACTTCTCCTATGATATCAGTGTCATTGGGGCCACCAGGATTCACTATACCAACTCTGGTCTTAAGGAGCCTGCATTGCCAAAGGAGTTAGGCTTTGAAAGGGAATCAGCAGAGGGATGTCTCAGAGTTAAGGACCTGGGGAGATCGTTTTGTCATCTTTTGTTTGTTTCTAAAGTAAGTGAGACCTCACAGAGAAGTAGTCAGAAAAGGTCTATTGCCGAAAAGGAGATGCCTTTATCCTACTTGTCCCTGGCGACTACCGGTCCAAGTGACAGAGAAAAAGGGAAAGATGGTAGAAGTTATAGCACACTCCTGGAGTCTAAATTAAGTAAATAAACACATAAGCAACTCATGATCGATAGTGGGCCTGGGAGAAGCAGTTTTGCAAGCAGTGGAGAAATTTCACCCTGCTTTGGAGGGTTGATGTGGTTTTGAACTCAGTTCTACTTCATTCTATCTTATTCTCTTTGCTTCATCCTGACTGCTCTGACAGTATTCAAGCCGCCATTTCAATACAATAGTGCACCAAAACTCACCCTTGTCTGTGAACCTCTTGTCACACCCCACTTGGTCCTTCCTTCCTCCTCCCCTAATTCATCCTTCTCTCTTCTGCCTACTGGTCTATCTTAAGGGAGATGCAGTCATATTACTGTCCTACTCAGAATCTTAATGGCTGCCTACAGCTTCAAAAGTGAAATCTGCAAGGCATGAAACTGTCCCTGTCTACCTTCTCTGTTTTATTCCTGCTACCATCCCTCTTTACGCTCCGGAAAGAATGAGCTGATTGGCAGGTTCCAGAACAGTCCATGGTATCTGTATTTATTTACTTTTCACTACTTAGTGCCATATTTTCATGAATCCTCAGGAAGTCTGTCTTTCAGGTCCCAGGCAGCAGTTTCTCTCTGAAGCCTGCCTACCTTTGTTAATACCACCAAGGCTCATCAGAGTGTCTTCCCAGTTAGACAATTTTCTTCACGCCACTAATTATATGCATCTAACATCAATATACTCTGCTTTTTGAACCTTGGAAACATGAAGCTCTGAACGATGTTCACTCTATAATTTGAATCTGCTGAGAGAAAAGTATCATGACAACTGGAAATGGAATGTACACAGTACCTTTGTTACTGGCGTAAACTCAGATAAGACTAGTGAGGTCAAGGGATAATTAATTCTCCATGACCAATTATCTTGTAATCTAAGTTCCAACATTGTATGGTCATTTTTATTTTGTAAAATAACAATGAAGTATCTTGTAGCTAAATGAGTGTGCACATCTTGATATGAAAATGCTTTCTTGTCTCAGCATTCATCTTTTTTTTTTAAAGAGGAACAACTTTATTGACATATCATTCATGGATCACAGAATTCACTTACTTAAAGTGTATAATCTAGTGATTCATAGTATATTCACAATATTCTGCCACCACCAAAATTCTAGGTTCTTTTCATCACATATGAACCAGGAACTAGAGCTGGTTAAGCTTTTAGGCTTTGAGCAGCAGTTCAGCTGAGATCCATTCAGATGAGGACTCAGAGGCTTCCAGTCTGAGGAAAGAGGATCAGCTGAGGAACTGGTGATATGAGGTGGCTGAGGCTGGTTCTGTCTCTCTGATCTTTCAGCGTTCACCCCAATACCTGGCTCTGGGTTTGTTTTTATTAATAAGACCCTTTAGGATTCGTGTTACACCCCCCATGGGAGTAGGAGGCATATATATGGTTTGTATAGGCCTATCTCAACTAATCTTCACAACATGATAGCGATCATCTTTTTTCTGTGAATGAGGGTGTTCCAGAGCATTAATTGTCATCTCAAGATCTTCTGAGGACTGAGGATGTCCTGGCATTTTCAAGATGTAAATACATCTTCGCTGCTTTAGAATTTTCTTATAGTTTCCAAGTGTGTTTCTTTAATGTACATAAAAGCTCTCTTTTGCCTCTTGTGAAGTACCAGATTCTGAGTTGGTTTCAGATGGAACTGGGATTTTTCTGAGACTTTGTTGATTTTATTTAACAATAACCTTTGTTTCCTGTAAGTGTAGGGACCATGAATCCTTCAAAATGTTACCATAATTCTGCATACATAATATCAGAGAATAATACAGTTTATTTACTAGTTCTAGGTCCCTAGGCTTATGCTCCATTTATTTTATTTTATTTTTGAATTTTTGAGACAGGGTTTCTCTGTGTAACAGCCCTAGCTGTCCTGGAACTAGCTCTGTAGACCTGGCTGGCCTTGAACTCACAGAGATCCACCTGCCCCTGCCTCCTGAGTGCTGGGATTAAAGGCGTGTGTTACCACCGCCTGGCTCTTATGCCCCAGTTTTATGTGCATTTCTTCCTTTATTTCTTCTTGAAACTCTGTAGAGTTCCTATAATTTTGCAAATATACAAGCTGGACTACAGCGAATATTAATTAAATAGAATAATTTACTTCCCATGACACCAGGATTCGAATCCAGGTTTAATTCCCCAGTCCATATTCTTTCTGACACATCACATTATTCTCTGTTATGGAGATACTTAATCATCTAACAGGTAAATGAATCCCATTGGATAATTATTGCTTGAGCCCGAATTGTGTGAGGGATTTTACTTTCACTTTGTTGTATCCATGTTTAATTGCAGGAACCTCTGCATTTGGAAACCAGAAAAAAAAAACTATCAGAAAATCGGATCTAATTACAATTATGTTTTGGTTAGTTTGGTCCTGGGTGTCAGCATGTTTCAGCTGAGTATGTCAGCAGCCTGATGAGGCTGTATATAGGGCTGACAGGGTCACTGTCAACGTATTTTCCATGCACGAGTTGCCACATAGCTGTCTGGTCCTCATCATCACTTGCTTACTTTCTTCTTTGACTTCTGGCTTCCTGTCAGCCCACACCAAATGACCCTGACCTGGTGGTTACATATTTATTCTGAGGAGGGAGCTGGTATAAGTTGGTTGAAAATTCCACATGTTTTTGCTGTTTGGAACTTGTCTCATGCCAATTTTACCTATAAGAGAAAAGATACTTATGTTAGGATAGACTGCAATGAACCTTGAGCCTTGCTGTTTCCTGATCCTAATTTGTCCATTACTTTCAAGTTAAATGTAGAAGCTGATGGCACAAATAAAATTGTAGGAGATGAATACACACCCTCTTTTACTTTCTCTGTTTCCCCCGAGGTTCTTGGTACCACTGGATATAAGAGTGGTTCAGGCTTTCCATGGCTTTTGGGGTTAGAAGCTTCCAACCTTCTGGACTTATTATTAGGTGTCCTCTTCATCAAGAAAACTTTTGCGCTCTCAGAGGGAGTGTATCCACGTGACAGCAGCGAGTCATCACCAGGGCTTTCTGATAAATGCTATAATTCAATAATCAGAATGATTCTTTTATTTTAGTGAGAAACTATACTTTTTCATACAATATACTCTGATTCTGGTTTCCCTTGCTCCTCCTACTTCCTCCACACTTCCCCTCCCATCCAGAGCCACCCTCTTTCTGTCTCGTCAGAAAACATGCAGCTAAAGGATAATAATAAAATAAAATATAGTGAAACCCCAAAACAAACGAATAGGAATAGGACAAAACAAATAGAAGGAAAAGAGGCACAGAAACTGATAGAGACACAGAAACACACTAGTTTGCACACCCTGGAATCGCAGAAAAATACAAAAGCAGAATCCATAATATATATGCAAGGGACCTATAGAGTAAACAAATAAAAATAGAGATAAAGTAAAAATAAAATTTGAAAAAGGAATAAAGAAAAGGAAAAGAAAAAAGAAAAAAGCCTGGAGATGACATTATGAGAAAAGGAACCTTCATTGATGCCATTGAGTTCATTTTCTGTTGGCCATCTTCTGCTGGGCATGTGGACTACCCTCAAGAGTAGTTTGTTTCCATAAACCACTAGTTTGTGGAATTTGCAAGTGGTTATCAACTGGAGATTGCTTCTTGGTTAAAGATTGGGGCATTTGTCCACTTTTCCTTCCAGCTTTAGGTCCTTGTCTGGTACAGACCCATGGAGGCTCTGGGCATGCTGCCTCATGCTGTAAGTTCATATGTGTGTCTGTCTTGGTTGTCTGTTTAGAAGGCCTTTTTTCCCTTAGTGTTCTCCATTCCCTCTGGCTTTTACACTTTTTCTGCCTCCTCTTCTGTAGGGTTCTCTGCTGTGGGATGTCTTTCTGTATGCTGTGAATATGTATTACTCTGATTGGTTGATAAATAAAGCCGTTTGGCTTATGGCAGGGCAGGATGCAGCCAGGTGGGAAAATCCAAGGGAGAGAGTGAAAGGAGGAAGGAGAAGGGAGGAGATGTGAGCCAGCCACCCAAGGAGCAACATGTAATGGGATGCAGGTAAAGCCATGGATCATGTGGCAATACATAGATTAATAGTTATGAGTTGATTTAAGATATAAGAGCTAGCTAGCAAGAGGCCTACCGTAGACTCTACAGTTTGTAAATAATATAAGCCTCTGTGTGTTTACTTGGGTCTAAGAGGCTGCAGGACTGGGCGGGACTCAGGAAAATTTCCAGCTATAGTTCTCTGGGTCCTTAGGGGAGGTATTTGATTAAACATCCCATTTAGGAATGAATGTTCCAAGGTCTCTCACTCTCTGCATATTATCTGGTTGTGGGTCTCTGTATTTGTTCCCATCTGCTGCAGGAGGAAGCTTCTCTGATGATGGCCGAATAAGGCACTTATCTATGAGTATAGCAGAATGTCATTAGGAGCCTTATATTGGTGTGTTCTACTAACAACAGTAGTATTTAGTTTTTCCCTAGGTCCCTGGGCTATCTAGTCTCAGGTTCTTAGTCACTCAAACAGTGTCAGGTATGGGTTCTATTGCATGGAGTGGGTCTTAACTCAAATCAGATATTGCTTGGTTATAATCACAAGGTTTGTGCAACTATTTCACTAGCCTATCTTGTAGGTAGGACGTAATTGTAGATTGAAGGGTTTGTAGCTGGGTTGGTATTTACATTTCTCCTTCGGTAATGTGCAGGGTACCTTCCTGTACCAAGAACACCAGCCATAAGGGTGAAGGCTCTAAGTAGGCACCAGCTTTACTTCCCCATGTTAAATGAGATGTGTAGATGTTGTCTTCAGCTATGGGACCTTGATATCAGTTTATAGAAAGCTACCTATAACCTTGGCAACACTCTGAGTTATAGTTGGACTTTCTT